TGATACATTATTTACAATTGAACTTTTTAAAGGATATTTAACATTTAAAGATTGTAATCATTGTTATTTAACAGCTATTGGTCCATTAGGTATAATGACAACACGAAATAAAATTGCTGGTAAAGATGAACAATTTTTATTAGAAGAAAGTAAACAACAAATATGTTTAATTGCACCCAATGGTAAACATGTTTCAATAAAACAAGGTGTTGATTTATCAGCAAATCAATGTGAAAAAGATAATAGTAGTATATTTCAACTTGAATACGATGAACATCTTGAACTTTATCATATTCGTACTTATAATAATAAATATTGGAAACTTGAAGGTCATGGTGTACAAGCAACAGCAGATAAACGGTAAGATTAAAATTTGATAATACAAAAAAAAAACAAAAGAAGATTATTTTTATTATTGAAAAATTTAATTTAGTTCAATGGAAACTGGATTTTATATACAATCAACAGGTAATGGACATGTTACATTTCAAGCATCAAATGGTAAATATATTATTCCACATGCTACTGGACATATGCGAGCTATTGGTGAACAAATAAATACAACAGAAAGTTATTTTTTATTAAAATTTATCAATCGACCATTTTGTGTATTTAAATGTGATTTTGGTTACGTTGCTTATAGAAATAAACAATCACGTATACTTGAATGTAATAAATCTATATTTACATTATTTACACTTGAAGAACCAATTAAGGAACCAAATAATGATGGAGTCGTTTATCTTAAAGGTTTTTGAAAAGAAAAAGACTTTCTTTATAAGAAAAAAAAAACGAATTTTTTTTTCTTTTCTTTTGTTTTCAACTAGGATCAGATGGAATGTATTGGGAAATTTTAAGTGACTTAAATATTAGTGTTAGTGGACGTGAACCAACAAAATTTATCGTAGAATTATGTGCTGCATATTCAAGAATTGTTATAAAAGCATCAAATGGAATGTATTTACGTGCTGAACAAAATGGAACTATACAAGCTTCATGTCAACATAGTCGAGAAGCAACACAATGGGAATTTTAGAAAGAAGAGTTTTTTTTTTTTTATTGTCAACGCAATTAATTGTCTATTATGATCCTCAAATCAATAGTTCGTTGTCGTATGTGTCTGTGTATATCTATGTATGCAAAAAGATAGATGTAATGTACAATTTGTTTGCGTATGTATCATCATTTGAGATCGAGACATGACTTTTTATTGACATTGTTTTCTTCGTTCGGTCGAGTATCTGTCTAATACCGCTTTTTATTTAAATAAAAATAATACCATTTTACTGTGAAATTATTCAATATTGTAGTAGTTTTCAATTATATTTACATATATATAAAATAACGAATTTAAATATTAGTTTTGATAGGCAGCATCAAAAAACGAAAATGTCTTACAGTGGCTTAGTCAGAGATTTTTGATTTGTGGACAATTTACTAGTCAAACTGTTTTGAGGATGGACAGCTGTAAACAATAGCCTATGGCTGGATACGTTACTGACGTATCGATTAAATATAAGACAAGTAATTCGATATAAGTAGATTTATAAATAAGAAATAGATAGATACACTTGATATCTTTATATTTGAATTGATATAAATTGTATTGATTTCACACAGAAGATATTTTATTGACAGAAAGCTTTAAATATTAACTATTGTTCCAAGAAAAGCGGTCTATTCTATCAATAGACAACACTAACATGGTAACTTTTGGTTTTAAGTATTACAAAGAAACGTTATAGTACAACGTATGTTGTAGAACTCACATATTTTTGAAGAAAATAGTAAGTGTAAGTTTGAATTGAAGTTTTGTGGTTCTCGCCTTCCCATTACGAAACTTACTCATCCAGAATAACAGGCATCAGTCTCTTTTTTAAGCTATCTTAACGACGAAAAAGAAACCACTGAATGGTATTAATAACAAGATTTAGATTGTTCTAGAACGTACCAAAGCTTTGCTCGAAATTTAAGTGATTGAAATACGTTTGTGGTCAGTTTTTTATTTTTACACAGATAAAAATTTATATTTAAGATGTCAAGGATAATGGATTTTGATGCATGGATCTGCCACAATCGTCATATGATCAACATAAAATGTGTGAACTCAGCAAGTGATAACTTTAGGAAATAATCAATATCAATGTTTTCGAGCTTATCGAGATATATAATAGTGCGTTAAAACTTGTTGTACATATCATAGGTATATACAATAGACTTATTTGCTTGTTCAATCAATGTTCAGAACAATAACAATGTTAAATAAAGAAAAGCGAATTGTATTTTTTATTAGTATAGTAAGGCTAAAGAATATATGTAAGTTTCACATTTCAGTCTCAAATGAGCTGTTCTAACATCTTTTCTATTAAGTTTTTTGATTGTTTCTCAATTGATAACTATTCTATGAACACATACGGTTCCTATTGATATCAATTACTAAATGAAAGATATTTTCTTCATGCTTGATATTTAATGAATTAACTGGAAAAATATTTTTGATTCTTGTTCAATATCGTAGGATGAGAAACTATCAGAATAAATGAAAGTATTCAATCTATAAGCAAATTTTGGACGCATTTTTTTTTGCATTATTTAATGCAATTTCGACTACGTATCATAGTTGATTAATGCATTTTGAAAAGACTGTATAACTCGATATTCATATTTGCCAAACTCAGCTTGACTGTGAATAACAAAGAAACATTCGAGTATGGTAATTCATACCATTCGACTTTTTTTTTTTGTTCAATCTGAAAAGTTCTGTTAGCAGTGAAACTTCAATGACTTTGATTGTAATCTTGATTTGTTCGACTTTACTTAAATGTAGTGAACATTGAGTTCTCTCAATGAGATATTCATTTACTTGTTTTTCTTTTTTTGACAAAGAATATCTTTTTGTCTATGTTCATTGTCATTGACAGTGTCATAGATAATTTTTATGACTTGTTTGAAGATAAAATCTTTCTCACGTTTGTTCATTATATAATATAAACACATATATATTGCATCAAAATGATCATATGCATATTCGAGATATAGGTGCATGAGAACAAGTCGATATGGATGCATCGTTTTTTCTAATGATTCTACTAGTAAATTGTGCAATTGTTCTATTCATCATAAAAATAAATTCAAACGTTCGTTTTTTTTGTTGTAAGGTAGAACGAGGATACATTAAACTAAAAGTATCTTATTCCCATTTATTATCATAAAAAAATGACACTGTATCAAACTTTATTCTTATTGTATCGTGCATAAAATCCTAAATTTAAATAAACATTGAATTCATTTACTCTTTGTTTTAATAAATATGCATAGTTCTAGTTTATATCAAGTTTTGGTACTAAGAAATAGGTTAGATTTTGTGTTGATTGTTTAAGTTCAAACGTTTTGTATAGTTGGAAACTAACATTATTTAGACTAATCATTGTTAGTTATAAATTTGTATAATATCTGAAAACAAATTAGAAGAAGTAAAACTATCATTTGTGCGAATATTTATCACTTTTCCTACTCACTAAAAAACATAAACAGTTGTATGCAATGGTTTCTATTATCGGGTTTATATGCGACTCTCATCAGTACAGGTTGTTATGACTTTCTTGTTTCTATTCTTGCGCTATTAAAAAAATATTATTTATATTTATCAACGCCTTCCAATTTCCTCAGGGGGTTCCTGAAGACTTGTCAGAGAATTTTTGTCTATATTCTTATTCTATGAAAGGCTGGAATGTTCGAGATATTTTTCTGCATGTTAATTAAAAGTTCTTGAGAATCCACGAAGAATTTCGTATGTTTCGGGCAACTTACTGGTGATTCTTCAAATGAAAGTTGATTAGGACCAACTTATGTATATTAATGTAAAATTTGTTTTATTATAATTAATATTAAGATAATCATCTTGTTGAACAAAACAAAAGCATTTATTGTTTTATATTTGATTCTTACAAAATATACTAGTATTTAACTGTTGCTTAAATGTGTAGTTGTATTGATTTATCTTCAGTTTTTATATACGTGAAAGAGTTGTTTTTATTTGATAAATGAAGAAAAATAAAATTTATGTTTTCTATTCAATTTTATATTATGCGCACGTGGTAAAACTATATAAATCTCTTTTTTCTTCATTGTTTTATCATTTCAATAGAGAATATGTCAACAACTACTAACTTATCAAAAGTTAATATTTATGAAAAAGCTTCATTGTTTTCTGCTCATTGGACGCCAAAAATAATTGGTGAACTTAATGGACAACATGTTAAATTAGCTAAACTATTGGGTGAATTTGGATGGCATTCACATAAAGATGAAGATGAACTTTTTCTTGTACTTAAAGGACAAGTAATTATTCAATTAAGAAATAATCAAAATGGAGATATTGTGCTTAATGAAGGTGATATGTTTATTGTTCCTCGAGGTGTCGAACATAATCCAAAAGCAGAAAATGGTGAATGTACTGTAATGTTATTTGAACCAGCATCAACAATAAACACAGGTGACGAAAGAAATGATAAAACACAATTAGAACTTGAACATCTTTAATTTTTTCATTTAATAATAAATGTTTTTGCATTTTGAAGATGATAAATATTATGTTTATTGAATTCTAAAAGATTACAATAAATATTCTTTGCTATAGATTCGATCATTCAATAAAAAAATGAATTGATTATTTTACTTTTATATTTTGGAGATTTTTATTTTGAATACTTTAATTTACTTGTAGCTTTGAATAATCAAACAAATTTCCATAAGAAAAGTTAGGTATTGAAATTAATTTTTAAAAGAATAAATATTCGACACATGTTTTCATAAACTAGTGACATCTTTATTGCTTTTTTAAAATATGACATCCATAAGATTCGTCAAATCAATGACGTCCTATTCATCCACTTTATTTTTAAAGGACAGTTTTTTTTTTCTTCTTAACATTCCTTTTTCTAACAAGGCTACATGTATATAAGTTCAATTAACTATTTTTTTTCTTGTGTTTATTTTAGATGGCTACAACATTTGACTCATCATCGATTAATGACAATGGTAATCTCTCAAATAATACAATTGGTAAATTACCCGAAGAAAGTTCTGTACTTGTTGTTGGTGCAGGTGGTATTGGATGTGAATTATTAAAATCATTAGCTTTATGTCGATTTCGATCAATTGGTGTTATTGATCTTGATACAATTGAAGTATCAAATTTAAATCGACAATTTTTATTTCGTCGTGAGCATGTTGGTCAACCAAAAGCAACTGTTGCATGTGATAGTATACGTCGTCTTTGTCCATCTATTCATATTGAACCATATCATGGTGATGTTATAACTGATTCACGATTTGACATATCATTTTATAAACAATATGATCTTGTTATAAATGCACTTGATAATGTTCAAGCACGACAACATGTTAATCGTATGTGTTTATTATGTTCAAAACCTTTAATTGATAGTGGTTCAACTGGTTATAATGGACAAGCAACATTAATATTTAAAGGTCGTACACAATGTTATGATTGTATTGAAAAACCAAAACAACAACGAACATATGCTGTATGTACTATACGTAATACACCATCACAACCAATACATTGTATTGTATGGGCTAAATTTCTTTATAATCAATTATTTGGTGATAATGAAGATCCAAATAATGAAGATGTTACACCTGATGCTGATGATCCAGAAAATGTTAATAATGAACAAGATAATACAATAAATGGACATCATCGAGTATCAACACGTGATTGGATACATACTGAAATGGAAGAATTTGATCCAAAACGTATATTTAATAAATTATTTTTTGATGATATTAATTATTTAACAACAATGAAAAATTTATGGGAAAAACGACGTCAACCAATACCAATTCAATATGAACAAGCATGTCAAATTAAAGAATGTAATCAAAATGGACAAGGTGATCATGAACAATCAACAATGCCGAAACTTAATGATCAACGTATTCAAACAATAAGTGATTATGTTCAAATGTTTATTGGTAGTTTAAATGAACTTAAACAACGTTCTGATAAACAACGACATATAGGTATATAAATATTAAAATAATATTTATAATAGTTTCTTAAACATTTTATTTTTCATTATATTTTAGCTTTAACAGGTAAAGAACCATCGTTTCTCGTTTGGGATAAAAATGATGATGCTGATCTTCGATTTGTGACAGCATCAGCTAATATACGTGCATATATATTTGGTATAAATCTCACAAGTAAATTTGATGTGAAATCAATGGCTGGAAATATAATACCAGCTGTAGCAACAACAAATGCAATTGTTGCTGGTATAACTGTATTACAAGCACGAAAAATTCTTGCTACATTACCACGTTTATCAACTGATCATACATTAACATCAATAAAACAATTAACAAATGTATTTATATCAACTGATCGTAAAACAGGTGGAATTATTCAATCAATACCATTAGAAGAACCAAATCCATCATGTATACAATGTAGTGATCTTGAACAACCAGTACGTGTTAGAATAAATATGTCATTATTTACATTATATTCATTATATGAACGTTTAATACGTAAACATTTAAAAATGAACAAACCTGATGTTATTATTGTTGATGGTAGTGGAAGAATTTTAATATCAGCTGATGATGATGAAGATGAACAAATGATGTTAAAAACTCTTGATCAATTTAAATTAATTAATGGAACAATATTATTATGTGAAGAAGAATATGATGATGAAACAAATGAAGCATTATTACAACATATGAAAATTAAATTAATGCTTGAACATACAGATACCATTACAGACAAAGATGAATATATTATTGTTGATGATCAAGTTATTGGTGAAATAAAACAAATAAAACAATCATTAAAACGAAAATTATCCGATGATGATGATGATGATGACGATGATGATGATAATATACAACATTTAGATGATTATCAAAATGAAGTTAATATTGTTAAAAAAACAAAACGATTATCAACAGCTCCAAATGAACATAATAATAACAATAATAATAATATTGGTCCAATGCATACAAGTTTTGTTATGCTTGTTGATGATGAAGCACAAATACAAACAAATGGACATCATCAAGAAACATCGGAAGATGGTTTTATTATTAATACAAAAAAACATAAACAAAATAACGATGGTAAATATTGACTAGTTATGCATTTGATAATTAATCAAGTTGAAAAGAATTTAAAAAAAAAGAAAAGGAAATTAACGGTTTTTAAAAGTGAATCATCACAATGAGAAGTTTATTTTTGTCTTTCGGAAACTATTCAATCCGTACTCTCTTCCAAATACTTAATTGTTTATTGAAGTATTTTAAATTACACAAAAATCCGTTAAGGCAATCCCTACGAGATTAAAATGTGAAAGACGATGTAGCTGTTATTGTTAATCATAGAAGGATTGTTTCATTCGTTCTATTTTGAGTCACTTTGATTCACCATCCTTTTCGTACGACTTCACGACCTTGACACTGGCATGGCCAAAGGTCACTAAGACTTTCGTCACGCTATGTAAAATTCATAAAGTTCTGTGATAAGCCTATTCTAATGTGTCTGTCATCTCTGTAGAAATGTACAAATTTTTACAGTTAATACTTCAACACATTTTTTTTAGATCGTATTCCACAAAAATAATAAAGATTCCAAAAACTTATTAAATTTAATCTTCTTTATTTTCAAAAAAAAAGCTTCTTTTATCTTATCGGATGCAATTAGATTTGGGTGATTAGAGAAATCGATGAGACTTGAGTAAATTGAATAGTAAGCCAATGCTCTACGATCTTGGAAGACATCCATGCAATACAAAAGTGATAGAAAAAAGTTTAACAATAATGCATTTGTAATATTTTTTTCTATGGTGTTAAGCAAATGTACTCTATACTAAAATTTTATATAGCAAGGTTTCTAAAAAACAGGAAGTGATAGTTTTCAAGTTTCGAATAACCTTGTCACAGCTATTGTTAAAACAATGTCATTTTAAACAGTACAGAATGAGAGGTTGCCGCATTTTTTATAACCTTCCCTTAAAAGTTAAAAGTGTCATAAAAGCCGTGAAAAGACGAAATTTACGTGAAAAATCGCTAAAAAGGACCTTGTTTCGATTTTAGTGATGCTTTCAACTTCGTAAAAAGAAGGTCGTAGAAAAGGCGATGACCCTTCGTTTTATGCAGAACTTTGTTGTCCTGTTTAAAATGACATTGTTTAAAAAAAAATAGCTCTGACAAAATCTTCTGGCATTTGAAAACTATCGTGTTCGGTTTTCAGAAACCGTACCATTATAGTTCGTCTATGAAATCTTGATATAAAATGCATTATATAAAAAACTCCATTAGCTATTAAAATTACTATACGAATTTCAGCTAGTACTAGTCCACTGTTGGTTACGCAACTAAAACAGAACACTTTTCTTAAAACATTCTGCACATCTAAATACCGTTTGTTTTGTATGCTATGGACATTTTTATAGTTTCAATCTAAGTTAAAATTTTGCTTTCATTAAATCGTCTTAGAATAGTGTTTGGCTAGTTCATTATTGTCTATTTATTTTTTTTTAATTTTAGATAATTTTATCTCAAACGATAGCAACAGTTGTGTGATATTAGATGATGATGATAAAACCAATTCAAAACCGGTAAACAATACAGAGCAAAATGAAAGTGCTGCTGCTGATGATTGCTACTGTGTTGATATCACTGATTCATAAGATCACTTTTGTCTTATTTTTCCTTTTTTTTTTTCTCTTTCTTTATAAATATGAATGTCTTCTCACTGTTATTAAATGTTCTTCTTTTCATTGTCTAATTTCTTTCTTCTTTCTATTGTTCGTATGTATTACAATGTGTTCTTCTTTGTTTCCAGAAAAAAACAAACACACAAAAAAAAAAAGATCATTGTCTATCTAAAAACACATGTGAAAATTGCTATAAACGTTTCTAAGAAAATAATTTGTAGATTTCATGACTATTGATAAATATCAAATCTTCAAATAGCATACTTGTTTCTTCAACAACTAACTGCGTTAACTATTCAATTATTATTTACATGATACATGTCTGACTATTGAAATATGAGGCAAGAAATAAATATTTATATTAAGTTCACTTATAGTTAAATCAAATGAATGTTTGACGATTCTTCTATAATATTCTGACGAAAGAAGACACCGTAAAACTGAAAATTATTTTAAACTTATTATTTTTCAGTTGCTTGAATAGAAAATTCGTTTTCAGTTTTTTTTTTGAAAGAGTCAGTGTTGATATTTATTTTTAATATAAAAGTATTTCTATAGTCTATTTTGTAGATCGCAGATATATTTTCTAAGATAATAGTGAATATAAGTTAGAATTAAAATTGTTTTCAGCTTTTCTTTAATCTATAGGAGCCCTACAGAGAACAGAAAGGTCAAAGATCATTGAGTACGTTTTCCTAACAACGGAAAAAGACACTTTCGTAATAACAGTGCATAGATTATTTTGAAACTTTCTAGAATCTTTCAAAGCATTCTATGTATTTAAAGTTTCAACTGTAGGTTTTAACTATTTTAAATATTACAGGTTTTAGTTTTTAATGCAACGAAAGGATTTCATTGTAGATATAAATTAATAGAACCGTCACATAATTATTTCAGCGGAGTCCAAATAGGACAGACATAAATTATGAATTAATTGACTTCTAAGTTTAGTCAAAACTCAACCGTATGTGTCAAAGTTCGTCGACACAAAGGCTTGTGTGTTTGGAAGTTTACTAAACGATTAAATTAACGTGTATAACAAGCTAATATAGTGGGGTTGAACTAACGAAACAAAAAATTCAATGATATGCGTCGCTGCGTACAGCGTCTATCGTATAAATTATAATTCAGAAAAAAAAAGTTATAGATTGAAATGTATCTAATAATACAAATAAGTTTTTTCATTATAACAACGTTAACACATTGGGCCCGATGTGGCCCACCGGTGGGCCACGCTATGGTTTTACGAGTAACTGTATAGAAGAACACTTTCTTTTGATTTTTTCTTAGGCACGAGGTTATAAACATGAAGTGTCAGTTGTTCTGTGTTCAGTGCTTTATTTGCGTCCTTTATTCCATAGGATAATGCTTGTCATTAAAACACTCTAGAGAAAAAAACTTATCGCAGTCAGAACGAAGAGTTTTCACTTTCTTTGCTGCCGCATAGCTTGCTTCTCTTGACTGTTGTGCCTTTCCCTTCGCACAGCAGCCAGTACATCGTCTGCCAACATTGCGCGTAGATCCTTCCTTTTCTTCGAGCTTGTGATCAGCGAGTTTGCGCTTGGAATGACTTGCTGATTGTTGTATCGGACCAGGTTTTAGCTTCTCGATTGGCACACCAAGGAGTAAAGATCGTACAAGACTTTCTCGAAACTGTAAAATCTGTATGTTGCTCGCCGCATAATTTTCCTTGTAAATTAGATAACTATTAACCACTGCAGTTCCAAATACCAATTCAAATGCCACCTTTTTATACCATTTTATTGACCGTCTCAGGCATGCGTGGTATGTTGATAGTTGATCTGATAAATCAGTACCTTGTCTGCCTTCATTGTAATCGAGAACAACTTGCGGCTTCATGATGCGTTCATTCAGTTTATTGATTTTTCCGGTGTTCACCACAGTTGCTGAATGAAATGGTTTAGTAGATATCATCAGAACGTCTCTTTTATCTTTCCACTTGATCAATTTTACACCGATTTTGTTCTGGAGCCCATAAACCTCACCAGGCTTGAGCTTTTTCTGAACAACTTCATATCCTGATCCAGTACGATTACTTCTCAATGTTCCAATAAGATACGTATCCTGTTCCAACAAACGTTTTGCTAGAGAAATACTAGTAAAGAAGTTGTCAGCCACCACGGTTCGATAACATCCCGAAAGACCATTCAATAGATTCATTGCGACTGCTTCAGCATGTCCACGACCTGCCATAGGATCTTGCTGACCAGTATAGATCACATAATTCCAGGTGTATCCATTGGTAGCCGCTAGCTTGTATATCTTTACGCCGTACTTGTGTGCTTTTCCAGGGATGTATTGTTTGAACAAAAGTTTGCCTCGCCATGGTACCATACTTTCGTCGATGCTAATAACTGAGCCAGGCATATATACTGATGAAAACCTCTCTTTGAGTAAATCTGAGAGTGGTTTCAACTTGAACAGCCTGTCGTGGTCCGAATTCTTGTTATTGTTGTTTGTAAAATGCCAAAATTTGAGGACTAATTCAAACCTCTCTCTCGACATGGCATTTCGTATGATCTCTGATCCGTACAATTGACTACTGCTCCAGTAGTATTTCAGTTTCGGCATTTGTACCAATCTCATCTCGATAATGATTCCAAAGAACTTCAGCATCTCTTCATCGGTGGTTGGTTTCCATTGACGAAATTTTGACCGTCTGCTAATCTCATGAGTTTGCAAATATTGTTCCGCATAGCGATTAGTTTCACGAACCATAAGGTCAATAATTTCGTCCGTAATGAAATGCCGATAGCAATCGATAGGGTCGATTGTATTGTCTCCTGAAGTGGAAGTTACTTCTTCGACGAGACCATAATCTTCCATAAATTCATCATCCGATTCTGGTTTTATTTCATTCTAGACGTTTGAATCGACCTCGTCATTTGTCATTTCTTCGTCGGAGCTTTCAGATTCAAGATGTATTCTATCGAAATCATCATCCAAAGAACTCACTTCACTTCGTGAGCTAACGCTTTCTTCTGAATCGGTTTCTTCGAACGACATGTGTACTATTCCAAAAATTCACTCGTCTCTATATAGTAAAACAACACATGGATAAGAATAACAGAGAAAAGCCTGGAATTTTCCTCCTTCTTCTCACATATGTTATATATAACATGAAAAAGAACGAAAAATTGACTCAGGCAATTCTAGTTACTCGCGAAAAATGATTCATTATGTAGTAATACAAGAAAGAGAACGATAAATAATCAGTAGAAGATAACGAAAGGGTCATTAAGTGCATTTATTAGAAGTGAACTATTCATAAAAATGACATCTTGCAGAAATTTCATACGAAAACTGAATCGTGCCCAATGTGTTAAATGAATCTAATAATATTCTAGAATAGAAATTCTAAATACACATATTTAAGAAATGATAAAATTTTACAT